TAAGTGCCATGTCTCCAAAAGTAAAGCATGAGCCCATGCAGAATAGGGGACTCTGCTGGGAAGCCTGCAAAACTCTCCCAAGGATGGGAGTGAGCTGAGTAGAGTCCTACAGCCAGAAAAGCTCCTGAGCAGAAATGAGGGCAGGAAGGTTGTGTTGTCTGTGTCCAGCACCAGAGCAGTCGCTGGAGGACACTACGGCATTTTTGGAAGTAAGCTCAGGAAAGCTTGGATGAACCAGTGAGCTTCAGAGAGGAACAGCAGTGGGGAAGATGAGCTGTACAGGGAGAGAGCCCAGCAGCTCAGCCTCTCCAAGGCAATAGAGATGAGAGCACAGGGACGGGGAGCTGGGCAAACCCTGGCAGCAGCAGGGCTGGGGGCTGGCAGCAGAAAGGAGCCCTGCACACGTGGGACCGAAGCAGGGCGTTTTCAACATCCATGGAAACGAGCCATGTGAATAGATTCCTGAAGGCCCACATGGCTGCTGCTTTGCTTGCTGAGAAAAGGAGGTGGAAAAGTCCTGGCTGTGAAGATTGGGGTGGGGTGAGAAGAGAGGGTTTTCCACTGCAGCTCCTATCCCATCCTGTTCTCTTGCCCAGCTGGAGAGGCAGCACCAGATCCTCTGCTCAGCAGAACTTGGCTCAAGGGGAGTTCCTGCCCTTTTGTGGCGGGACATAGGCCCCCGTCTGCCCTGGGAACTCACAAGTCAGGCACTTCTGGCACGTGTTAGTCTTGAGTTTCCCCTCTCTGGTGTGTCATTGCCAGCTGTTGCAGCAAGCTCCATGGCTCACAGTGGGCCATGGGGACAGCATCTGCCTTGTCCCCAGCAAGGCGTCATCACCTAACACTGTCCCCTCTCAGCACCACTTGTCCTCCCACCCTACGGGGACAGCTCAGACCCACCAGTGCATTCCCAGCCCCACCAGTTCATTCCTTCACATGTGGCTACCGGAGACTGTGAAGCGGGAGCTGGTGCCCGGGTCTGCAGGGAGAGGAGGGGTAACGAGCCTCCCGATTTCACAGCAGCTGATGCCTGATTGATGGCTCTTAATTAGCGTCTATCTGAAAAAATCCTCTCCCACCATCCCCAGGAGAGATGGCATTGCCAGAGGCTGAGCCTCCTCACGCTCCCTCTGCTGCAGGATGGTTCGGGGGAGCAAAGGGGAAAGGATAAGCTAGGCCAAGAGATGCACTGCTAAATGCATTGGATGGGAATCGAAAATTCGCCCTGTCTGCGATAATTAGCTGTCTCCTTACTGGATTGCTGTGAAGGGAAAACACTGACTGCCATTAAATGAGGCAAAGGACCTACTCCACTTTTAATTCCCTGTGTCTCTTTGCATCCAGAGAGAAATGCCTGCCGGGAAGTGCTCATCTTGGTGTTGTGGAGGTTCTCAAAGGAGCCCAAGCTAGAAGACAACACGTTTTCCACTGCTGTGAATAGGAACCAAAGCCCAGCGCACCTCAGACAGCACTGCCCTGAGCTCCCGGCTGAGCAAGAAGCGTTTCCAGGGCAGGGGAGGATGGAGATGATGTTCAGCCAGCTAGGAGGAGTGGGGCTAGCTCCAGCCCCAGGGTCTCCTCCTCACAGCTGGAGGGCATGTGGGATGCTTTGTGATGGCAGTTTGCACAATCTAAAAGCCACCCAGCATACAAGATGGGAGATGGGTATCCTGGCCTGAATGTGGGGAGTGGGGTCAGGGGATGGGCTTTTCTGGTGACTTTCTGTGTCTGCCTCTAGGTATCACCAGCTTAGGGCGAGCACTAGAGGTACTGGTGGTGCCACGTGGCCAGGGCAGGGGCATTTGGGTAGCAGTGGGCTGGGTGGTGATGAGATGGGGTTGCTGGGGCGGGGGGGTTGCAGGCTTGTGCCTGTGCTGGGGGTGCCAGGCAGCACCTGCAGTCACAGGGACAGGCTCCTGCAGCCCACAGGCAGGGACCTCAGCTGCAAATAGATGTCCTAATTGATATGTAATCAATTACTGCTGAATGGAGAACAGGGGCTTGTTCTGATGTATCGTGAGATCTTTAAGCACTTCTTGTGCTTATTTTTTGGAAAGCTCTGGGGTGTGGGGAAGGACAGTAAGTTGTTAGGTACACCCTTGTAGCACATCACTATTTAAGCAGCACCCCCCCAGCTCAGAGAATGCCAAACACCCCATTGCCAGCTGCCAGGAATCCTGCTCCACCACTGTCCGTCTGCATGGACACAGTCTGCCAGAATTCAAGTCTATTCCTCCTTTGTCCCAGACTTCTGAGTATCCCCTGGGGGACCAGGACCATTATGGATCTTTACCATGGGGCTGGGGATCTTGAGTGGGAGAGGGATCCCTCCACAGGAGGACAGGAGCCCCTTGCCAGAGTCACCTCCTCCACACCCAGTGGTAGAGTTTCATTAAACTTTTTCTTTTTTTTTGTTTTTTTAAGCTCAGTCAAATTTCTGGGGCTTGCGTCTTCCCCAGCTGCTGTGCCTTGTTGCTTTTTTGCTTCCTCCCCTTCTGCTCAGGTTGGAGCAGATGCTTTGAGTCTATAATAAATTATTCAGCAGCATTCTCCATGCCGGTCCTCGGATTTCAATTTCCACATGTTTCCCTTCAGGCTGTTTCCAACTAATTTCTCCATTTGCATAATGCCTCCCTTAGGGATGCTCTGGCAGGCCCCTTCTCACTCATTTGACAAGACCATCAGAGGTTCAGGCTATTAGCAGAAAACACTTTAATTCTGTTGGCCCGTTAGCCTGGTCCTTCCCCGTGTGTCTCCAGTGGGTTGGGGTTGGGGAGCAGAGGCAGGGGTGCCCACGGGGGCTGCTGGCCCCCCATCCAGGGCAGCCCCTGGAGAATCACAAATTCAAAGGCAAGCACAGTTTCTCATTGCTGATTCTGGTCCAGCAGCCCTGATGTTTTTCTCTGGAAGAGAATTAGTGTTGGTGTCTCCCTCCCTGTTCCCCAGCAGGTACCTGCACCGCCAGCCAGGAGTGCTCCAGGGGGAGAGGTAGGGAGAGTTTTAGCTGGGACAGCACTGAGCTTGGGAGGGTGGTGGGGTCTTGCCAGAAGCAAGACCTGCCTATTCCCTCCTGCTAGTTGTATTCTTCTGCCCCTCTTCAGGCACATTGTATGTTTCTACTACACACAGAGCAGCCTGAACATACGTGACGCTCCACTCTCCCTCTCTCTTTCTCTCCCCCCAGTTCTTGTCCCTCCAACATGGCCAAAGGCCTACATTGCCATCCTGCTCCCAGCACTAGCTGCTACCTGTGATCTACACTGCAGTACATCTCTCTCTAAATTGCCCAGATATCAGCTGGATTAAAACTTCCTTCAGGAACTCAGGGACTGCATAAACATCTCCAGGTTTAAATGAGCTCAGCATTCCTG